GGATACATTTTAACCATGGTGCAAAATGGCAAATAGAGGTTTGTTTGTATTTACATCAATGCTTTTAAAATGAATGCTAGTTTTAATTCTATTGTCTTCAATAAATATATTTAGATCTAAAATAAAATCACTTGCTCTTTACTAAAATTAGTGGTTAGGGATATCCTCCATTTGTTTGCATTTCATTTGTTAATACAATTTATTAAAGTGTCCTCTGTACCAAATAAAAAACAGGTCATCTATGTAACGTTAATGGGAGACGATGCCCTCCACCCAGCCACAGTTTTGATGTAAGAATTGGCGTTCCCTATTAGCCATAAACAGATTAGCTTAGCTGGGTGCAAACCTAATACCCATTACCATTCCACAGGTCTGCATATAAAAAGTTGCATGAATAATTGCTTGTTAAAATGAGCTCAATATTCTCCATAATAAAATTAATTTGTTCAGATTTAAAAACTTGAGACTGTTCTAAAAAATGTCTCGCTATTGAGCAACCTATTTCATGAGAAATGATTGCATAAAGGGGACTTACGTTAGTGGCAACAAAGTAGTAATCCTCTTGTCAAATAAATTAATTCAAGTGTCTTAAGATACTTCCTGTATATTTCAACTAGCTTGGTACTTTTTGAACAATTGGTTGTAGACATTTGTCTATATGTTCAGATAATCTGCTCAATATATACCCTATCCCTGAGACTATAAGTCTTTCCGGTGGCTGGGTACGGTTTTTATGAATTTTAGGTAGATGATAAAAGACCGTAATTTTTGGGAATTCTACATTTAAATATTCAAACTCTTTTTATATTTAAAATACCTGTGTCAAAACTCTTTTTATTTTTTAAACCATACAATTTCTTTTTCATTTCTTTAGCTGGGTCCATTCCTATTTTTTTTTAAAAGTATTTTCATCCCCTAATAGTCTTAAGGACTGTTTGTTATAGTCTTTCATTGTTACACGTACTATTCCACCACCTTCATCTGCCGGCTTAATTATAATTGAATTATCATTTTGACATCTGTTTGAAAATGCAATACTATTTTTTTTAGATTCTGTTGATATTGATTAGGTTTTATCATTTTATTGATATCAGCCATCACCAACTTCTCAAAAGTTGACATTTCTGTTTCAGGTTTTTTTTAGTGAAATTCATCCAATTTTGCCCTTTGATTAGTTTCTACTGGCTTTCTTAAATTCTCTGGGTCTCGGAGAGTAGGTTTGGAAATATACTTTCACCCAATCTTAGCTCCCTCCCTTCTTTTCTGTACCTCTTTAGTATTGATGTCGCGAACATGAAATTTTCGGTTCGCGAACCGCGAACGCGAACTTCCGCAAATGTTCGCGAACCGTGCGAACCCGGCGAACCACCACAGACTTCAATGGGCAGGCGAATTTTAAAACACACAGGGACTCTATCTGGTTGAAGGGGGGGGAGGAGACCTACTCTCCTCCCCCCCCCGGCCCCCACCCCTGGGCGGCGGGTGGGGGCCATAAAGATAATGAGGGGGGACCTACTGTCCCCCCAGGCCACCACCCCATAGTGGTGGGAATGGCCCTAATAACAATAAGGGGGGACCTATTGTCCCCCCCGGTCCCCACCCCTGAGCGGTGGGTGGGGCCCTAATAACAATAAGGGGGGACCTATTGTCCCCCCTGGCCCCCTCCCCTGAGTGGTGGGTGGGGGCCATATTGATAATGAGGGGGGGGACCTACTGCCCCCCCCCGGCCCCCACCCCTGCGCGGCGGGTGGGGGCCATATTGATAATGAGGGGGGGGACCTACTCTCCTCCCCCCTGGCCCCCAAACCTGGGCGGCGGGTGGGGGCCATAAAGATAATGAGGGGGGACCTACTGTCCCCCCAGGTCACCACCCCTGAGCGGTGGGTGGGGACCCTAATAACAATAAGGGGGGGACCTATTGTCCCCCCCGGCCCCCACCCCTGAGCGGTGGGTGGGGGCCCTAATAATAATAAGGGGGGGAACTATTGTCCCCCCCGGCCCCCACCCCTGCGTGGTGGGTGGGGGCCATATTGATAATGAGGGGGGAGATACTTTCAAGCCATCCAATCACAGTACTCTGTGTCATTTTACACAGCGTGGGAAAGTTCAATTTTCCCACGCTGTGTAAAATTACACAGAGCACTGTGATTGGTTGGCTTTCAAGCCATACAATCACAGTGCTTTGTGTCATTTTACACAGCGTGGGAAAGTTCTTTGGAATTTTCCCACGCTGTGTAAAATGACAAAGAGCACTCTGATTGGCTTAAACCCACCAATCAGAGTGTTCCTAGCCTAATTGTAGGGCGGGGCAAGGCTTTATAAGCCTTCCCCCGCCCTGCGGAGCTCAGTCTGCGCGGAGCCCTCCATGAGTGAAGATGGATTATTTTTTTGCGCTCGGGTTTTTTCTTTTTCGTCTGGTTTTTTTTTTGCGCTCAGGATTTTTTTTTTAGTTCGACGGTTATGTTGGTTTTTTATTTGTCCTTTTTTGGAAATGAAGATTTGAGAAAAAAGAAGACGTCGAATGGTAAGTTTAATTTTATTTTACAGGTTAGTTATTTTATTCCCCCCTCACTATTTTTTAGGGTGAGGGGGGTAGGTAGGGACTTTTTATTTGGGGGGTGGGTGACTAGGGGCTTGGAGACCCCTAGTCACCTTGGGGGGGGATTTACTTAGAGCCCCCACCCGCAGCCAGGGGAGGGGGCCGGGGGGGGAGGACAGTAGGTCCCCCCCCTCATTATCATTATGGCCCCCACCCGGCGCGCAGGGGTGGGGGTCGGGGGGGCAGTAGGTCCCCCCCCTCATTATCATTATGGCCCCCACCCACCGTGCAGGGGTGTGGGCCGGAGGGGGGGCAGTAGGTCCCCCCCTCATTATCAATATGGCCCCCACCTGTTGCGCAGGCGTGGGGGCCGGGGGGGCAGTAGGTCCCCGCCCTCATTATCAATATGGCCCCCACCCGCCGCGCAGGGGTGGGGGCCGGGGGGGCAGTAGGTCCCCCCTCATTATCAATATTGCCCCCACCCACCGCACAGGGGTGGGGGCAGGGGGGGACATTGTTCATTTTAGGGCCCCACCCACCGCTCAGGGGTGGGGGCTGGGGGGGACAATAGGTCCCCCCCTTATTGTTATTTTTAGGGCCCCCACCCACCGCTCAGGGGTGAGGGCCGAGGGGAGGACAATAGGTCCCCCCCCTATTAGTATTTTGGGCCCCCACCGGGGGGTGTACCCTTTTTTTTTTAAACAGTGAGCAGCCACAGGTATTGCGAGTAGGGGCACAATTTACTAATACTAAGTAATTTTTACTTAGTATTAGTAAATTAATAGGGGGCGGACCGAACATCGCATATGTTTGCCATCCGTGGCGAACGCGAACATGCTATGTTCGCCAGGAACTATTCGCTGGCGAACCATTTGGGACATCACTACTCTTTAGGTGGATTTATCTTATATCCTTCCTGTATGTCTATGGGGCGGAAATTTTTCCTAACCTCATAATTCCTTCTTTCTCCATTGTTGTTACTTCTATTTTTACCAAATGTGCGAACTTAAAGGGACACTGTAGTCACCAGAACAACTACATCTTAATGTAGTTGTTCTGGTGAGTATAATAGCTCCCTTCAGGCATTTCCATGTAAACACTGCCTTTTCACAGAAAAGGCAGTGTTTACATTGCCCCTAGGGACACCTCCAAATTGCCTCTTCTCATATGGCCACTGGAGGGGCTCCCTGGCTCTGGGCTGCACAGTAAGCAGCCCTGCCATTCAGTGTCCCCACGCTCTGCATTGATATGCTGAATTTTCCTCATAGAGATGCATTGATTCAATGCATCTCTATGAGGAGGTCCTGATTGGCCAAAACGGCATTTGGCCCAGCTGCTGTGCCGATTTTAGCCAATCCAATGCTTTCCCTACGAGAAAGCATTGGATTGGCTAAAACTCAGCCATTTTGATGATGTCACAAATTGGGCGGAGCCAGCACTGGCGGACCCGCACTGTGCTGGAAATAAGGTGAGTTTTAAACTTTTATGGGGGGCAAAGGGAGGGGGCAATCCACTTAAATGGTGGATTTAGCACATTATGATCAGGAATACATTCTTTAATTTCTCCTATAGTGATTCAATAAAAAGGTTTGCTCTTTTATAATCTTTTAGATTATATCAATTGGTTGTGATATTTGTGAGTCTTTGGAGAAGGGATACAGAAATTACAAACAATGCACTGTGGTCATTTATTTTTCTCAACTAATAATTTTATTTAAGTATTAAAAATATAAAGATTACATGAGTTACATTAATACTCTAGTGAATGAAATGTTACGGAGGCTCGATATATATACGTAGTATGTTACACATGTGTGTACTCAGAGAATACTACACCTATGACATCACATTGGACACAGAAGTGTTACAGGACCCTAAATAAAGATGAAGAGAAGCCAATGCTTTACCTGTTCTCTTGATCCAAAATCACACCATCCCTAATATTATAACCAGAAGGATCACTTATATAGCACAACATATAGCAATAGACAAATCCTAGGTGAAGAACTGGATCCAAGGCTGGCGACACCCATATATAAGTTGGAAACACAATAAAATCCAGGCACTCAAGGTACGTAATGTAGCAGATTTATTGGAATGTCAAAGCTTAAACAGCAACGTTTCGACATCCCATGTCAAGCTTGATAAAGACCTCCTTGAAGGTCGAGAAGTTGTTGTTCTGACTTTTCAATAAATATGCCACATATGTACGTAGGCACTTGAGTGCCTAGATCATACTGCTTTCCCATTTTAAATACATGCCAAAAATCAATTAATTCTTCATTTCCTTTGGTGTTAATTACTAATTGCTTTTTTGGAGTAGTCTCCTGTAACTATTGCATTAACATATCCGTTAACATTTGAAACTTTAAAAGTAAGTTATTTTTATTTTTTTTCTTGCATTATATGTAGTGCATTATTTATGTATTGTATATAAAATAAAGCTTATTTAACTCCATTGTTAGATATCTTTCTTTTTGACAGCCCTAATAAAAAAAAGATGATCATAAGATGCCATCTCATTGTTTATTTTACTTTTTCGCACCTCATATCGCTCAGTCGCAAGACCTGCATCTTTCAGAGCTTCTTTTATAAACTTTTCACCGCACCCTAAAAGATGGTACTTTTCCTCACCAACAGTGAAAAATGCACCATTATAACCACCAAATAATAACATGCGTCCTCCTAGTTTTAGCATGGAAGCTATTTTTTTTATGTTAGAGCGGTAAACTTCATGATCTTCACTAACCATATGTGTCACATAAAGGCTCAACACACAATCCGCTTTTGGTAACACAACTGGGTCCGTAGGGTTGGCTTTGCTGAAATCACATTTTAAGATGTGTTTGATCCTTCTACGCAGGTCATTTTCGCTTTCACTAAAATGGAAATATACAATTATTGTAGCAAGTGCATTGCATTCAGATAATTACCAAATATTGTATACATTCCATATTATAAGAACAAAAGCTGTGTCCATTATTTTTACCCATTCTTTTCACAGGTGCTCTTTTGATATTAAAGGGACACTGCAGGTTCCATAACTGCATCATATAATTGAAGTGGTTATAGTGTCTGGAGTCTCCTGGCACAGTCCTTCTGTTCAGCATTAAACCTTTTTAACTTTTCTAATGCTTGACAAAGTACCCCTTCCCCTTTGTGCTGCTTGCCTAAAGAGAAAGCAATAGTCCGAGCAGCAATGGGATCCTCTGATTTACTTGAGGGTGCCAGCCTATCACAGTGCCCATTGCTGGTAGGAATCAGTATGGATACAAGGAAGTGAGTAATCTCTGCCTTAACTACACCTCCAGTAGGTGCCAGGCTATGGGAAGCCAAGGACCTCAGTGTTAAACTGCTTGGAGATGGTTTAACAGTGAATGGAAGGAAAGTGCCTGGAGACTCCAGATACTAAAACCAATTCAATAGGATGAAATTGTTTAGTGCCTACACTGTCCCTTTAATTTAAATTTTGTGTCTTAACTTTTATTGCATTTGTGTAACTAAATAAAAGCAATTTACACATGGGACAAACATTAACAAACAGAGATGTCCTTGAGAGGGGTGTGCGAACTGTGCAGTCATGACAGCAGAGACACCAGACAGCCGACATAGCTCATAGTCTGCAGGTGTGAAGCTATCCCCAACCTTCCCACACTATTTACTAAGCAGCAGCTACTGTAGTCTAGTGGCAGGGATGCGCATTCTCTATAACAATCCTGCTTGGAGCCATTCTCATGCAGGAAGAATTTCAATACGGGGAGGGGGGGGCAGGATATGAGTCATAGCCCTCTACCTTTGTGTGCCTGGGTGGTACCATCCCTGCCTGATTATGTAGAGCGTATTTCTTAACTGCAATAAGGGATGATCCAGAGATTATGAAATAAAAACAAAAAAGATACCAATATGATTTAGTATATTTGTAGTCATAGATGTGAGAGATATTGAACATAGATATACACTCACATTTTATGGAGCCCAAAGATGGCTCCCAGAAGATAGCATAAGGTGGTACTGTCCCCACTCTTGGATATATTGGTGGTATTGATTAAATATAGATAAAAACAGATATAAAAACATACACCCTGTAAATTAAAAAAGGATGATAAAATAACTGAACATTTACTCAAGAGGATCCCTCTTGGCAGGATTCCAAACTTGTGGATCCCCTTGTTGCTGCTCCCTTCATCTCATCCACATATCCTACCTCTAACCAGAAAAGAGATACTCTAGTTTAAGTTGTTCCAGTGGACTCCATCAATGTATTACAAGTGCTAGAAACTCACTTCTCTTTACCACTGTTTGGAGCGAAATATTAATATTGGAGGTGGGTTAGGCAGTGAAATATCAATATTAGAGGTGGGATAGACTGAAACACTTAATATGGAGTGTGTTGGGATAGGCAGACACTTAAGTGTGTGGAATGGAGACAGACAGATGGGTCACCGACCTATATATTGTTTGTTCAATATTCTTGTTTGTGAAGGAACTCTTGAGCACAGGATTATTGTGAGTGACTCTGCGGTGTAATTGTGTGCCATGTAATTGTGTATCAGAGTGTGTTTGCTTGCTGTCAATGAATGTCAGCATGAGAACAATGTCAGTATTTGTTTGTGTTTATGTGTGTGTGTGTGTAATATAAGTTGTTGTAAGTATAAGTATTTGTCAATGTTTCTGTGTGTTTATAATGTCAGCATATCTATCCACCATTTATAGCCCTATAGATCTACAATCCACTGTTAATACATTTAAATAGTGGTATGACACATCCTCCAAGCAAACCAGCTTACCATGCAGCATGTATCCGCTGCAATCCTTGTTTCCTTTGTGTCAGTGCGTACCTAAATGCACTGTGCTTTGTATTGCTCAAGTGTGAATTGTTGAAATGAGAGGCATATGCAGAGGCTCAATGCACACAACTCCTGCTTTTACAGAAGAATAATTATTTCTTCTGAGTACGAAGGGGTTTTAAAGACACATCTTCTACCACCAGCACCAAAATTCTAGGAGTTTTTACTGTGATTATCATTTGCTAAGTCAGCTTAAAGTGACACTCCGAACAGATAAAGCCCTTCATCTGTGTCTAAAGAGAATATGTCCTCTTTTTTATTTTTTAAAAATGCAGATTTCAATAGAAATCGTCACTTTTATAAATGATCTCTCATTTGATTACACCACCCCGGCTGTCAATTGGGCAGCTGCGAAGTGTTTCTTATTCCGAGTTTAGCTCTGTGGAGTAAGGATCATGAGGCAGGAACTTGCCCAGTTTACATGCCTTGCAAATGCATCTGTAATACAACAAAGTAAGAAGTATGTGATTGGACAAATGCATTGCTGGCCTGTGATGCTTTTTAATGAGAAGCCTCTGATTGGGCACAGATGCGAAAGTTTCTGCCGGGGAAGTAGGGAAAGGCTTGCATTAGATGCAGTTAAAAGATATGCAGCTATTGCAAGACAAGGTTTCAGATATGCCCAAAGACATTACGCAGGTATAAAGACATTATAAACTGTTAAAATAGATGGCTTGTTCCTTCAGTACATGATTAGGGGCATGTTGGATGTCTCTGTATGACAGCCTCACCTCATGCTTGCCAAAAAAATCTGCCAGACAGCCACTAGAGGTGCTTCTGGTATATTACCAGAGTCTAGGTCGCCTAAATTATGCTGGACATACTTACGCTCTGCATGAGGACATTCAGCTTCAGTGAAAACTGAGACAATGATTTACTATGGGTGCGCCTAATGAGCATGCAGCTCTTGTTGCGCATGCACATTGGGTCTTCCCCCATCGGATGATGTTGGAAGAGGTGGAGTGCCAACCCAGCACCGAGGAAGATTGGCACTGAAATTGGGTAAGCAAATAAAGGTGTTTATTAAAACACTTTATCTACCGCGGTGGCACCAAGTGGGAGGGGAGGGGAAAGCTCTATAGTGTTAGAAATACAGGTTTGTAATCCTAAAACTATAGAATCCATTTAAGTCTTCCCATAGAGAAGTAATGTAATGTTCTTGTATGAAGAAAATCATTTTGGTGTGATAGTATAGAGAAAATAGTATTGTACACATGAAGCTGATATCACCATTTCAAAGACTAATGACTAATGCCATTTACTGTCAAACAATAAATGTTATATTAAAATGTCACCTGTTTAATTCATATTTCAATATAAATTTGGATAGGCCAGACCAATCAAACGCATCTTCATGGCTGTTCACCCACTTCTGCAGATCTTTGATGCAGATATCACTGAATTCTAAAATAGAGATCTCCTTGAAGAATTTAAAGATTGGGAAGAGCTGAATTACACTTGGACCTGCTGAAATGTCAATCAAGTGGTCCCCACCAATGAGACCTGTCAAAAGGAACATAATATTATATTATAACATCACTCTCACAGAAACTTCCAATGTCTTGACCTACAGCATTTCTCCACTAACCTCCAAACTCTCCTTTTACCTATCTCAAACTTCACCTGTCCTAGTTCTGCAACCTCCTTCTACAATTCCACCCTCTCCTCTCAACTAGACATCATGGCACCTTGTACCTTTAAATGCCGCAGGCGCCCCCAACAACAACCTTGCACACCAAGCTCACTCGATACCGCCAAAAATGCTCCAGAACTGCTGAACACTGTGGGAGAAAGTCTCACTGTGCATCTGACTTTCTCCACTATAAATTTATGCTAAGCTCATACAGCTTGTCTCTTTCCTCTGCAAAAGTTAATTACTTCAATACCCACATAACTACACTCTCCTGCGAACCCAAACGACTATTTCACACCTTTAACTCTCTTCTTTGCCCTGCTGTTCCTCCTCCACCTACTAACTTGACCGCCTCAGACTTTGCAACTCACTTCACTAACAAGATCTCTACAATCAGAGAAGAGATCTCTCATCTTTCTTCTTCCCCTTACAATGCTTCCCCTAACTTCACTCCCTTTGCTGTTCTATGTTCATTTGCACCCACTACATTGGAAGAGGTTTCTGCTCTGCTCCAGTCCTTCCGCCCCACCACCTGCTCCCTAGATCCAATTCCCTTGCATCTCATCCATACTCTGTCTTCTTCTCTTTCTCCACCTCTCACTAAAATTCTCAATCTCTCTCTCTCCTCTAGTATATTTCCATTGCCCTTCAAACATACAACTGTAACCCAATTCTAAAGAAGCCCAATCTTGACCTTAACTTCCCATCCAACTATTGTTCTATCTCACTACTGCCTTTTGCATCCAAGATCCTTGAAAGAATTGTGTATGCGAGATTCACAGACTTCCTCGAGTCCAACTCACTGCTAGACGCGCTTAAGTCTGGTTTCTGCGCTAAGCACTCTGTGTAAATGGCACTGAGCAAAGTATCCAATGATCTACTCGCTGCAAAATCTTGTGGTCACTACTTTATCCTAATTCTTGACCTGTCTGCAGCTTTTGATACTGTTGATCATCAACAGCTTCTTCTCATCCTCCGCAAAATAGGTCTACAAGATATTGCTCTCTCCTGGTGCTCCTCCTACCTCTCCCAGCGCTCTTTCAGTGTTTCTTTCTCTGGCTCTGCTTCTTCTCCTCCACTCCTCTCTGTTGTTCAGTCCTTGGTCCCCTACTGTTCTCCGTCCATGCTGCCTCCCTTGGTAAATTCATTAGCTCCTTTGGCTTCCAATATAATTTCTATGCAGATGACACGCAAATCTACCTGTCCTGGAAACATCTGGGCACCCTAACAACTCCATTTTAATTAAGTTGTTTAATGTGCCAGAAGTCGTTCAACACTTTCTGAGGCTTCGTCAATGACATCAGTGGGCAAAGCAGATGGGCACCACTTTTGGAACTCTGGGGTTATAAAGTTTAACCCCAGAGTTCCAAAAATGGTGCCCATCTGCTTTGTCCACTGATCTCATTGACGAAGCCTCAGATTGGGCGCAGCTAGTTCTACATTCACAATTCCACATTGACCTATTGCAAACACAAATGTATCCAGTTGTATAGGTTTAATTTTTATTATATTTTTAATGGGTTTTATATTGTGATGAGTATGGCCTTCTCTAAGGAGATTCTTACTGACTAGCCATACAGTAACAGACTATATAACCACATTATTGAGTGTCCTTACTTTCACAGAGTCAGAAACAACATAGACTATTATATTTGTTAGCAGTGGAATGGGTTCGCCACTACAGGGGCAGAATTTGATAATGTTGTTTGGGGTTATCTTGAAGAAAACTGATCAGAGTTTTTCTCCTGCTTATATTGCAATATTAAAATAAAAAAAAAATAATATATATATCTATCTATATCTATCTATATACATATTTCCCTTTTCTATCCCCCTTTTCTCTCTCTCCATGTGCAAAACATTTTTCTCTGTTCTTAAATAGCATGGGTTTATTTACCATTAAAAAAATCCCAGCTTTTCCAAAGTTGTTTCCTGAGTTCTCAACTACGGTCCAGCTAGTTACTTTTCTAACTCCTCCCTAGAGCTATTTTCTTGGTGTGGAACGTACAGTTAAACCCCCCTCTTTTTTACATTTAATCTTTGATTAATAAGCCACTCTCTTTGAATTAATTCCTTTAATGGTTGTCTTTACATATGGTTTCTGTACTTACATGCTCTATTTTTCTCTATTTCTTTATCGTTAGTAAAATATGATTAACAGCAATCTGTTAAATATTTTAAACTGTATTACATCATTAATGAACATACCTTCCTTAGCTTCCCTGAAAAGCTCTTCGGCTGGAAATCTTGCAATCTCATCCAACATCAAAATATCAGATGTTGTAGAAAAATATCTTTCCACAACCTTTTCTGAATCAATATTGTGCAGGTGATAGTGTTTGTGGGTGGATGAAGTCATTCTTGGTCTGTGTATGGTCAAATTAGATGCACCAAAAAGGCTGTGGATATAGTTTCAAGCTCAGTTAATAAGTACCCGATAAGACCCCAGGTAAAACATGCATTAAAGTCTAGTTTTTTTTTGTTTGTTTTTTCTCTTTAATGACATTAGCACAGTTTTATTTACCATGACTCCAGGCAAATTAGTTTTGAAACTAACCTATCTGGTTTTTGTTTGAAAAAAAGGCTAGAGATAGGGCATGATTGATATGTGAATGTAGTTGTTTCCTTAATCTATTTTAGATGCAAGTAAAAAGAAAAAATCTGCATGTGAGTTGTTTAGAGCACATTCAGGTGCTTTAACAGAATCCAGTAAAAAATAAAAGGGACACTATAGTCACCATAACCACTAAGCTTCATGTAGTGTTTATGATATTTTTTTAGCACGTTCCTGCAGTGTTAGCACTGTAAGCACTGCCTTTTCTGAAAAAATGGCACTGTTTGTGTTGCTGCCTAGGAACACCTCTTTGGACAGTTACTCAGACGGCCACTAGAGGTGATTCCTATCTGGTGTCTTCATGCTAAACACTCCCCATTGAGATGCATTGACTTAATGCATCTCTATGAGAAGATGCTGATTGGCACAGCACCTACTTCCAATGCTTTCCTATTGATAGTCTCAATCAGCCGTAACAAGACTGGCACATCAGAGGGGGGAGTTTCTTTAGTGTTAGGAATACATTTTTGTATACATATTTATATTCCTATCATTATACAATTAAGGGCATTTTAATTTAATCACTGTTTAATTTATCTCCCTTGACAGTAGAGTTAAAAGGACTCCAGAAGTTGAAAGTGACCTTATCAAGCCAAACTGTACCATACACACTAGCATTGCGTAACATATGTGTGACGGAGCTACTGTACTCCGCCCAGTGTCCTGATGGTGACTTCCGTCACAATATGTAATACCAATCTGGATACTATGCACACCACTATTAAGTAACTTGTGAAAACCCAATATGGGCACCAAGCATGGAAGGTTGTTACAACAAATCAAAATTGGTATTTTATATAATTTTTTGTAATTTAGAATTTTAACAAAAAAGAGGAAGAAAATACAATATTACTGGGGGGCATGACTTGCCAAGGAGCTGAATGGATGTGCACTAGCTTAGCTCCCTCAAGTGTTGATAATCTAAAGCAATTGGAGACAATCTGCAGCAATGGGAAACCCTAAAAGGCAGATTACCCCTCATAACTCATCTGGAAAGGCAAATCCAGCTCTTCATCAAAATATTTTAAAGATGTGGTAGACCGGGATGAGGACCAGGCCGCAATCAATATGGCGCAGATGGCCGAATCCCTCCCTCCCACTCAGCCCAGCATCATCAGAGGGCTCTGCAGGGTCACAAGTACAAGATATCAGGGACATCCTGCGCTGGGTTCAGCGGTACAATCCCCACTTATAGGATATGATGTAAGTGTTCTTAATGATGAAGGTATCAGGAACCTAGAAAACAAATAAAAATGCAACAATAGTGCTCTCAATAAAATATAAATAGCCAGTAAGATATAAAAAAGTATACTCACAAAGGTAGAGCAGGCTAACTGTTCTATGACACCAGCATCGGTGGTATGATCCCCAACAGGGATTCTTTGAAGTAGAGAAGGTTAAAAGATAGTTGATGCCAGATTGTTTAAGAAGATCAAATAATAAAAGATAATGGTACAAGCAATACATGAAGTAACCAAAATCTATTTATTAGTTTTAAAAGCAATTGCATACATCCAAACGTGTTTCGCCGTTTTTTTCAATGGAGTAAAAACATACAACCTGGCTAGTTTAGGTTTATATAGGAATACAATTAATTAAAATTGGTGCCAAAATTGCATTTTCCAATGACAAATTAATATAGGTATACGTTTACAAAACTTTATAGAGCTTATCAAATGATAAAGACATAGCATTAAAATATATTTATTATTGCATTTATGTATAAAAGTGAATATTATTAAAGCATGTATCGGCTAGAATTTGTCAAACCACTTGATGCGCGTCCTTGCCACATTATACATTGCTGCTGGGCCTTATGGGAGCTGTAGAGCCAGAAGCGGAACATGGCCGCAATGGGTGTTTGTTCTGCAATTGCCGAACATGAAAAAAAGCTGCATGCGCAGTTGTCGGTGTTACATGGTTGTTCGGCAAATGCCGAACGGAAAATTAGCCACATGCGACTACAAGTGAACTTAGTCTAGGACGCATGTGTGGCAGTACAGAAAAGGCTGAATGCACAATAGAAATAAGATATATGGAGTTAGAGCGATCGGGCAAAATTTCCCAAAGATATTTTTTGTTACCCCCTCTCCATAGGGTAATACATTTTTTTATGCCAATGCATTTAAATTGTCTGGGATCTTTATTGTGTAACGAAATGTTTGGATACCAAAATGGTTTGTGTATCCATTTAAAATGTTGTGCCAATTTTCACCTAGTCTTATCTTGAGGCTCCTATCTTGAGGCTCCTTGTGGTCATTCCTGTAACGTTTACTAGGAAACCCTAACACCCAGACAGAACAGAGTAGAGAGAATTGCAATACCGATCCTTAGAATGATCGGGTTATGCAAAAATGGATAGTCAAAACACGAGCCGTGGTCAAGAGAAAAAGAGAGATGCAATAACGAGAGACATAGCCAAATATCAGTAACCAGAAAAACTAAATAACAAGTACAACACTCAATGGTAAACCAAAGATCACAACAGGGCACTGAGGCAAGGGAGAGGTTAGCTTACTTACACACAGGTTGTGTTTGATTGGCTAACCTTCAATTAGTGTTAACCACAACACGTGAGAGGAGTTTCCTCCCTCCCTTGTGGTCTCTGAGATCATCACTGTGTGCTGGGTCACAGCACACATATAAGGAAGCTGTTCTGGAGCGTGCAGCATTAGAGACACTTCCAGTCTGGAGACAGGGACCAGATGATGCAGCTCACTGTGATGAGCTAAGTAAGGTTGCGGCGCGGGGGCAGGGGACCTGACAATTCCAACATATTGTAGACCACAAGGGCATTCTAAAGGATAAATCACATTTTTTGTGTTGCAACTGATTAAATCTTTGATATTGTACGTCTTTTGAGTTATATTGGACTTGAACTGGGTAATTTTAAATTTGATGTTGATGAGTTGATGTTTTTAGGTAATTTCACTGGTAAAACTAGAGGTTAGGGTGGATTTAAAATGTGTAGCTCCTCTTCTTTCTTTTTTATAACATTTATTGTATTGTTAATGTTGACAACTGGACTGGTCAATGGCCATAGTGGTTATGGTGCCAGCTTCTGAATGCTAAGATGTAGGGAACTGTGCACAATGGTCCCCAGCTCAAGGCATTTTGCACCCGGTGCCAGTCCTATTTTTGGCACCGCCCCCCTCCCACCTTTAAATGTAAAATGCTGGCATCTTACATTTGACAATGACAATACATTTGCATAGAATTCATGTTAGTCACTCAGATTTCTTGTTGTGGGCTGGCTTACACCTTTTAGTTTCGATCATAGTTTAGCAGGTAACTCCTCTATTTGCTATCCTTATGTGGGATTGCTATATTTAAGGACATCAAATAAGGGAGCTATCTACAAAACACATACACATTTATATACACACAATAACACAATAGGTGTGCGTGTGTGTGTGTATATATATATATATATATATATATATATATATATAAATGCACACATAATCAGAGACATAAACACACATAACCACACACACAATCACAGACCTACACACACAATCACTTACATAAATACACATAATCAAAACACACACACTTAACCACAGAGATACACATAATCACAGATATACACACATACAATCACAGACACACAATCGCATACACACATAATTAGACATACACACACAAACATCACATACATGTACCCATTTAATAATTAAGCGGTCCGTGAGAATTGGCAAAGTAAGAGGGGAGAGTTAAACACATGTAATGCTCAATAACTCCGTATAATGAGATATGTTAATGAAATGATATACAGTTATTTGCTGTCAATGTATTGTAAAGATGACACGGTACATGTATGAAATGTGACGCTCCATGCCTGAATTTAAAAATAAAGAATTAAAAAAAATATATAATTAAGCGGTCCACACAGCCTACCTACCTTGCTCTGGAAGGGCTGGAGTGGATCCTCAGTCCCTGGGGGTCAGTGGTTGTTGCTGAGATGTCGGTGCTTTTCCTGCACAGGACCCTTGCATGCCCTGTAATGACGCCGAGGCTGGGATGACATCATATCCCAGCTGCCGGCTCACTGCAGGGCGAAGACCATCAGACACAATCAGATACACACAGTCCCACACACAGTCACAGGTAGACAGTCACACACAAAGTCACAGGCAGTCACAGGCAGACAGTCACACACACACACACACAGTCACAGACAGAGAATCACGCATGCAGTCACAGAAAGACAGTCACGCACACAGTATCACACACATAGTCACACGCACACAGACACTCACAGCAACAGACAGTCACACACACACACAGTCACATAGACATTTACACCGACAGTCATACACACACAGTTAAACACACACGCAGGCACAGACAGTCACACAGACTGCCCCTCCCTGAGTACGCCACTGTCCCAGCTAAGATGTTAAATGATTACAATGGAGCCCCAGGTATTTGATAACTAAGTGATCCCTCTGTCAACCAGGGCCTCAGTTATTAATCTCAGACAAATAAAAGAACTCTGCACACTGCCCATACATTCCTTTAAAAGTAATTGCGCTCAACTGCAATAAATAGCTTATAATCTCAGAGGAATTAAATCTTGCAGGAGAAAGAGTGATACCCCCAAGGGTCTGAAAAGTTGTCACTTCTTCCTGCCTGCTAGCATATGATACATACAATGTAAATAAAAGAGAAAAATAATAAAAGAGTATCTATAACTTATGACTATAGGATTCTATAAGTTAGTCCTGCCAATTGGCAAAAAA